GTTTTTCATACGAACCTAAAAAAAAACTCTAAAATAAATTTTTTTTGCCGATTTAAAAATTGCACACACTTTAATTGGTGTAAATTAGTCTCTAATATATCTCAAAAAAATATGAAATTTTTTCAAAAATATCTACATATATAATAGTTATATCACTACATATATAATATTTATATCATTCTTGATCGATATTTGTTATGTCTTTTAAAAAATAACTTAGAAAATAATTGATATTACTTAAAAATTTTTTTTTTAACTTATTTTTTATGAATTTAAAAATTTAAACTAATAAGAAAATGTCATCTGTCTGGGACAAACTGTCCTGTATCAAAAAACTAGTTATTATTTTTATGCGTATACATATTTTAGTAAACACAAAATGTTTTTAAAAATGGTTTCCTAGCAACTAACCTCACGTTTGATGAATAAGTCGCGTTTTTGATAGACTATCCGAATATAACAATTATTTTGAAATTTATTTTGTTTTTTAAAATGTTGATGAAACGTAAATTTATTTGTATTTTTTTACTATTAAAAACGAAGAATAAAATAATTATAAATTAAATCAAAATTGAAACAATATATATATATATATATATATATATATATATATATATATATATATATATATATATATATATATATATATATATATATATATATATATATATATATATATATATACATATATATATATATATATATGTATATATATATATATATATATATATATATATATATATATATATGTATATATATATATATATATATATATATATATATATATATATATGTATATATATGTATATATATATATATATATATATATATACATAAATATATATATATATATATATATATATATATATATAAAATATATATATATATATATATATATATATATATATATATATATATATATATATATATATATATATATATATATATATATATATATATATATATATATATATGTATATATAATTGTTTCAAAAAACGCACACAAATATTTGTGTGCGTTTAAGAATGCTCAATACTATTATATATGTTTGAATAATATTATTGATGAAACACAGTGTAAAATGAAAAAAAAATTAAAAAAAAAAACTCTATTTTGTAGAATACATTTTTAAAATTGTTTAAATATATATATATATATATATATATATATATATATATATATATATATATATATATATATATATATATATATATATATTAGTGATGTACCGATATCACTTTTTTGGCCGATGCTGATACCGATGCCGATGGATGAGAAAAGGCCGATACCAATGCCGATACCGATGAATCAACTAATTATTAAAAACTTCAAAATATAAACCCATACAACTTTAAATCGATACTTATGAACAAATACTTGGACCCAAATCAAAGCCAAACAATTATTTTATCAAGGTTTGTGTTTCCAAGTTATAAAACTGAGAGTGGGTTATAGCCATAACTAAAGAAGTCTCCTCAATTAACATGGCCTTCGTAGACTCAGGGAGGTGAATTGAAATAAAAAAATAAAAAATATAGAAATATACTTGACACTTAGCTATGCTTAAATACATAAAATAAAGCTGAAAATTCTCTTTCAATCTGACTCTCAAATCTTATGCCCTTTCTCTTCCTTCCATTCTAATTAAACAGGTAAATCTGTTGTTAGACATTCAAACTACTTCAGCTTCCATTGCTCATAGTCATAGCTCGATTAAACTCTTCTAGGGCTTGTGGTCCAGATAAAATTCCTGTCACAGTTGTACAAAATTGTTCTTCAGGACTCAATTTTCTCTAAACTATTTATTAAGTACTTTACTGATTCTTGTTTTCCTGCCTGCTGGAAAATGGCATCTGTTGTTCTATTTTTTAAAAGTCTGGTAAACATACTGACCCTTCCAAATATTGTCCAATCAGTCTTCTTTCTGTTTTTAGCAAGGTCTTTGAGTTTTTGATAAACATATTTTTCACTATCTAACTTTAGTCAAATAACTTGCTGTCAGACAACCAATATGTGTTTCAATCCTCTTGCTCTATGGCTGACTTGCTAACTGCTGTGACTGAAAGATTTTATCGTACATTAGATGAAGGCTTAGAGGCTATTGCTCTAGATATATCTGAGGCTTTTGACAAAGTTTGACATGTTGGTCTTCTCCATAAGCTTGTTTCATATGGTGTATCTGGGAAAATTTTGAGATTATCAAATCATTTTTTTTCTAACCGTCTTAATAAAGTCATCCTCGAAGGTCAACACTCTTCTTTATTTCCAGTAACTTCTGGGGTACCTCAAGGTTTTATCCTTAGTCCTGTTTTATTACTTATCAACATTAATTATCTTCCTGACAACCTCACATATAAAGTAGCTCTTTTTTCCAATGACTCAACTTAATACTAATGTCTTGACAAAAATTCTTCTCTTTTTTGCTTAGAACAGACAGCCCATCTTGTATCTGATCTCATTTTTGTAACTGATTGGGGTTTACAGTGGCTTGTAAATTTAAATTCTAGCAAAACTCAGATATTTACCTCAAATAACTATTGCAGTACTGTTGATTCTCCTATTTTAATGAATGGCAACCCTCTCACTGATTCCTCTCCTTTACGTCTTCTTGGATTATGATTTACTACTGACCTTTCATGGAAACCATATATACAATGGATTGCTAAATTAACATATGCTAAGCTTGCTTCTCTTTATCGTGCTTATCATTTTCTCTTTCCTGATTTCTTTCTCTACCTCTACAAATTTCTTATTTGTCCCTTTATGAAATACTATTGTCATATTTGGGCTAGTTGCTAAGCTTGAGCCTCTCTTCCATCATCGTAAAGTTGCATCCCCTTCTCTTTTTTATAAATACTATAATGGTTGCAGCTTAAAGGAGCTTTTATCTCTAGTTCCATCAACCAAAACTCATTCCTGCTTGAGTTGTTATTTATCAAAGTCTCATTCTCTTACTGTATCTGTCTCCTTATGCCCAAAAAACATTTATTTGTCTAGATTATTTTATATATATTTATATATATATATACATATATATATATATATATATATATATATATATATATATATATATATATATATATATATATATATATATATATATATATATATATATATATATATATATATATATATATGAATGCATTATTAGACACACACTAATGAAATAATATTGAAGTAGGTAGGAGGCTTCAGTACACACTTTCTAGGTAGAACATGCAAAGTAGTGCCACAATTGTTGAGGGTTTTGGTTAGGGTAACAATTTTTTTTTTAATTTTTATTAATCTTCATTTTATTTTTTTATTTTTTCAATTTTTTACAAAATATATTAGGATATTGGTTATCTGTTAACTTTCATAATGTTAACTCTATAAAATGTAATGAAAATAAATTAACATCAAAAAGTACAACTAAAGTTTATACATTGTATTGGCAGCAAAAATATTATTATCATTTTGAAGTTTTTTGAAAATAAATAATAATTTTACATCTAAAATTACATTTAACACACAAGATATTGATTTATTAAAATCTAATGATTTAATGCAACAGGAGAATTTTTGCAACAAACATGGGATGCATGTAACAACATTGAACAACTTCTAAATAAAAGTTAGTTGTGGGTTTGTTATATAATGGTAAGACTTACAGAGAAGTTAGTAAACAAGCTCGATTCCCTTTTTAAACAGTTATCAACTTTATGAAAAAGGATCATTTAATTGGAACTACCACTGGTCTTGCTCGAAGAGGCTATTTAAGCAAAGCATCTGCTGTTATTGATTGAAACATTTTATAAGTTAAGCAAAACAGATTTAAAATTACTCTAAAGATTGCCATCAAAGTTCAAAATATTGGAATCAAATATCTAGATTTCAGCTCAAACTTTATGAAATGGAATTTGAAAGCAAGAATTTTTTGTATATATTACAAAAAAAGTTTATATTACTAAAAAAGTATATATAAAAAAAGTATATATAACAAAAAAAGTATATATACAAAAAGTATATATAAAAAAAGTATATATTAGAAAAAAATATATAAACATTTCATTGAGTACTGGTAGAAAGTAATTTTATATTGAAAAATCCAAATTTAACCTTATCTCATCAGATAGTTAACAAAAAGTCCAAGGGAAACAATGTTAGGCAGACAAATTGATTTGTATGCCTAACTTTGTTTCTCTTGTATCATAGTGTTATTTGAATTTTTTTTTTTTTTTGACATGAATGCAAAGAAACAATATTTTAGAAAGAATGATATTAATTTGATAGAATGGTCAGCCCAATATCCTGATCTTAATCCTATTGAGCATTTGTGGTGCGTTATATATATAAAATTTTGAGAACAAGATTATAAAAAACAAAATAATTTAAAATCTGGCATGGTAAAAGCATAAAAGAAATTACCTCCAGAAGAAGAAGAAGAAAAAGAAAAAAAAGAAAAAGAAGAAGAACAAAAGCTGTGGTGATGCCTTGGTGTTTACAAACAGTTATTTATGCAAAGGATGGCCCAGCTAAATATTCAAAGTTAATTTTTTGTTTAAATTCTAAAATGTATGTATACAGTCCTTCAAATTAAGGTCAGTATTTTTCAGTTGATGTAGCAGTATTCCTCGCATGTTCTAACTATTTCTCAGTTGATGTAGCAGGCCCCTTCTATCTATTTGTCAGAATGTTTTTTGTTAAAAAGAAAAAAAAAAGAAAAAACATTCTGAATATTTTTAAAAACATAAAAAAAATATTTTTATTGACAAAGAGTTGTTAAGAGCCATTTTTTATCATTAACAAAATACCTGTTTTTTACCATATCAAAGAACATGGACCATACATATTTTAATTAAGTTTAAATTTTGTTACAACTTATTTAATTTACTTAAATATATTAAATTGAAAAAAAATTAATTAAATGTCATCAATATATTTGTAAACTTAAGTTTAGAGAAATGTCATTTATTGTATAATTCAAGTAATTTAAAATGTTCAATGTGTATTATTGTAGGCAAAAAATATAATATCTATAAAAGTGGATGGGCTGTATCTTAAATAAAAATGTTGTTGCAAAAAAAAAAGATTCAGTTAAGATTCGTAGAAACACGCTGGTTACAAAACCTACTGTCAAAGTGGCTGCTGGTACTGGTATTAACATAGAAAATAGTGATTTGTCTCAAATTATATTTATATTTGGTATGTGTTTATCATTTAAATGTTTTTTAAAATTGTATACTTAACTTATTTTAAAAGATACCTTTATAGCACACATGATGTATTTTTAGTTAAAGAAATCTAATTAGATATTCTTTTAACTAAATGTTTACATTTTTTGTATTCATACAGCTGAAAGTAGGTTTTTTTTTTAAATTAAATTTTTTGAATTTTTTGATAATAATAATAAAAAAAGAACAGTAAAAGGATGAAACTTAATTGAATGACAAGTAACACAAGAGTTATTTTTAATAGATAGCACAGAAGACTCTAGCTTTTTAGCTCATTATAGTGTTTATAGAAAAGAGAAAGAGAAGCAGCGTTACAATGATTAAATGTTTATTTTATTAAAAAATATATATATTTATATATACACCTATTTTCTCCGTGCAGTGGCCTTGTTCGTAAAAGTTTGTGTTTCAAATATAAAAAGTTTAGAGAGGGTTGTAACCTAAAAAAAAAATGTAGCCTACTCCACTGTAGTGGCCTTCACCGCCTTGCGGAGGTGAATCATTAAAATGATAATAATAATAATAATTATAATAATATATATAAAAATCACAAAAATGCAAATTAAAAGACTACTATGTTTTTATTTTTATTCTGTAAAACATGTGCAGAGTGTTGCTACATTGACTATCTTATAGCTTGCTGCTACAAGGGAGTGCTGCTATATTGACTATCTTATAGCCTGACTCCCAACGAAGTGCTACAACATCGACTGAGGGTTTTGTTATTTTTTTTTTTTAAAAAAACCTAAAACTTACATTTTGTAATAAACTAATCAAAAGATTGACCTCTTGATTAAGGCTTTATTTAACAATAATCGTACTAATCTAAAGATACAAAAATAGACACATATAGAACAAATAGTTCAATAACAACAATAGAAAACACAACAATCTTCCCATTTATGTAGAAAAAGCTCATTAAGTAGTTTTGTCATTTCAAAATATAGTCATCGTATATTACAGGAGCTTTACAAGCTATTGCAGAACGTTATAATACATCAGCAAATGGCTCAGTCACTGGTTCATCTACCCTAACACTGATTTATGATATAATTTCAGGGGCTTTTATTTACATCAAGTTTCTTTTGCAGTTACATTCTCACTAGACTCATTGATACTATTCTCATTGGTATCATTAAACATTTCTTTTGGGGCAGGATGCGGTACAAGATCTTGAAGTGAAACAGTTGACTCTTGTCTATCAGAGTGCTTGTTCATCCGTGAGATACTTTGTATGCGTTGTTTGTGTTTAGTAACCAGAAACCTCTTATATGTTTGTTACACAATTACTTTTATTAACTATATTGATTATAACTTCATTGAAAATGCAATTCTTTTTGTAAGTCTTTGTTTAAATCATAAAAATTGCTTTAAAAGATACATTACGATAAAAAATAGATACACAAAATTACATTTACATAAAGATTACATACTTTTAAATAAAAAAATAAGAATATACTAATAAAATCTATAATTTATAATAAACTTTTGAAATTTTGACAATTTAATATATATTTAAAATATTTATTTTTGTAAACAAATAATATATTTTTTTAAAACAAGAAAACTAGAAATCTCAAAACGTAACAAATCATAGTTATATTGTCAAGATATGGAAAAGTGTCATGTAACTTTTCTTCTTCAACAAACTTGTCCATAGACCTTTGGAACATAGACACACCATTAGTAACTCCAAATGGAATCCTACAAAATTGAAATAGTTTCCTATTTGCCTCAAATACTGCAAGCTTTTTGTCTGAATTTTTAATAGGGATTTGGTGGTAAGCACTTTTCAAGTCAAATGTAGAGAATACTTTGTATTTTGCAAGTCCATTTATCATATCTTCTATTCTAGGAAGAGGATATGCATTTAATTCAGTGTAAAGGTTACCTGTTTGAGGGTAATCAATACAAAGTCTTTTTTTGTTAGATTTAGTAAGATCCTTTACGACCACTACCTAGGCTCTCCATGGTGAGAAACATGGCTTAATTATACTATCCGATAATAACTGTAATATTTCACTTTCAATAAAGTTTTGATCATCATTATTATATCTTCTTGATTTTGTAGCTATTGGCTGAGTTTTGTCTGAAATGCTTGTAAGCAAGGAAGGTATTTTTATTTTAGCTATTTGCAGTGCACATTATTTTCCTGTGTGACAATTAAGTCTTCTTTTTCTCCACTCAGTGGGAATATCAAATTTTTTTGTAGTTTTTGGAAGTCGTAACCAAGTATAGTATCTCTACAAAGATTTTCTAAGACACCAAATTGAAGATTATTATACGATAAACCATTTATTTTAAGATTAACCAAACAACAACCCACTAATCCAGACTCCAATGTTGTGAGGGCCATCAAATTTTTCTTTTTACTGGGTAACATTTTAATTTTTAACATAGATGAGTTTTTTGCGGGAATTCCCGAAATTCCGGAAATTCACTTAAAACTCCTTTAATCTTCCAGAATTTTCCGTATGTTTTTTGTTAAAATTTGAAAAAAAATTTACATATTTTTAAATAAAATTTTGAACTTTTGCATTCAATCAAATATGTTTTCTATAATTGAAATTTTCACGAGATCAGTTTTCGTAACAATTTTTTTACTTTTTTTTTTTTTTTTGCTTTTCAATTCATTCAAATTATCTTTTTCGAATATTAAAAATCCTTTTTGTAAATAGTTAAATCTAAATTCCGTTTTAAAAGTTTAGTTTTTGTTGTCTGTTTATACGATCAATTTTTAATAAAATAATTTTCCGGGATTTTCATAAAGTCAAATACTCATCTATGTTTTTAAAGTCTCAATAATTTTCTTGCTTATAAAATTATCTGAGCTACAGGAATCAATTTGTGCAGTTAATGGTTCATCATTAATTCTGACAATAACAGCTGCATGAGAGAGGCTCAACCATTAACCACATGAAACAGTACACAAACTTGGTTTATATATTGCAGCTGAAACACTGTGGGTTATATTCATTGGCCTGCCAAGATAAACTTTGGAAAAATGGCTTTTTTTTCCACATTTCAAACAGGTTACATTTTAAGCTGGACAATTTTTCCTAGTAGAGGTTTAATTACGTTGGTTGTGTGATTGATTACCACAATAAATGCATTTTGTTTGTGGATTAATAGGCATAGCATTAAGTGCTGATGAGTTTTCTTCTGGTAATTTTATAGCGGCAACAATATTTAAATTGGAGGATAATGAGAATGTTTTCTGTTTATAAGAATCTGAGTTTCTTTGTGCAATGTCAAGAGAACGAGCTTGGTTAAATGCTGATTGCATATTCAATTTTGAGTTTTCAAGAGGTCATTGATGAATGTAATTCGAATTTATTCCAGAAATAAAAGCATCTCTTATTTGTTTCTCTCGATAATGTTCAGCTGAAACATTGTTATAATTACAGTTTTTGCTGAGTTTACGTAGTTCCTGAAGAAAGTCTTCTAAAGATTCTCTCAATGTTTGATGTCTTATAAGTAATTGATGCCTTGCAAAAATTTCATTAGGGGTTTTTATATATAAGTTTTCAAGGCTTTCAATAAGACTTTTATAGGAATCACACTCTTCAATGTAATCATAAACATTTGATGAAACAAAATTAATGCTGGAGCGAAATTTGTCTAGAGCATCCTCTCCACAATCCTCAATGAAATTATCAAATGTTCGTTTCCAATGCTTCCATTCTTTTGTAGCAGTTCATGCATTATGACCAAGATCAAGCCTCATCGGTTTTAAGATCTTAGACATTTCCCAATGTTGTTAAATAAATTGTAATGAACTAATAAAAAGATTGACCTCTTGATTAAGGCTTTATTTAACAATAATGGTACTAATCTAAAGGTACAAAAAAATAGACACATAAAACAAATAGTTCCATAATAAAAATAGAAAATGCAACATACTTTACGGTAAAAACTTAAAAAAGACCATGAAAGTGTGTGTGTGTGTGTGTGTATATATATATATATATATATATATATATATATATATATATATATATATATATATATATATGTATATATATATATATATATATATATATATATATATATATATATATATATATATATATATATATATATATAGTATATATATATATATATATAGATATATATATATATATATATATATATATATATATATATATATATATATATATATGTATATATATATATATATATATATATATATATATATATATATATATATATATATATATATATATATATATATATATATATATATATATATATATATATATATATACTGCTCCCAGATAAAGGGTTTAGGTTGAAGATGAAGGTACTGGGATTTTTTTTGGCAGAAATGTCAGAAAGAAATACTCAAATAAGATTAGCAAAAAATTAAAATTGTACCCACTCCTAAAATTAAATTTCATGTTTTTTTTTATTTTTTTATTGGTAACTAATTATGTACTGAAACTTTGTTGTTTATGGCACTACAAATAGTCTAATAAATTTCTAAATATAACAAGAGTACATTTATTATTTAGAATTAAATATGTTATATATATTTATATATATGTAAACCTATATATTTAAAATTTAAAATCTGTGTATAAAGTATATCATGTGTTTTAGTAGGAAAAAATTAAATTAAAAAAAAAAGAAAATGAATCAGAAAAGGAATCATCAGGAGAGCAAAGGTATAATTTGTTTTGGATTTTGCAACAAGAACAAGCAATGTATACTCCTACAAAATCCAGCTCAAGTTGCTTTAAGAAATCTAGTAAGGAAGCATATAGATAAAGGTTTTGATATTAAAGTGAACTCCTTTCCTACTGGAATGTGTCTGAAGTGAAAGACTGCAATTTATGAGAAAAATGTATTTATCTTCTTTTGTTTTTTTTTTTGTCTTTTTAAATCTGTCACTTTTTATAAAAATAGTTTTAGTTTCTTAAATGCAAGATATATAATTTTTTTTTACAGAAAGTAGTGTTAAAAGTGCAG